ATTCTCTACTTTATGAAGACAAATATTCCAATACAAATATTCAGTATATGCCATGAATTTTCGAAAAACTGCACTACTACAATATCTCCGGGCAAATCCTAATAACTGCTGGCAATATGCGTAAAATAAACGTGTTATGGGCAATATAAGTGTGGATTATGAGAAATATAAAAATACTGCTGCCATAAATTTTGCAGCAGCAAGCCAAAATTCTGTATGTATTTCTAAATTTCCCATAATCCAAATAGCTTGTTGCTGTAACAAATGAGAATTCGAACGACGATGGCACCTGTATATTAGTTACAATAATAAAGCCTGCGTGATCGAGACTTGCATTTGTTCATAATTTTCTTTTCCGTTTTTTAACTCCCTTTGTAAATCCCTTCTTCTAAATCTTTTTAAATTTTTTTCCTTGCTTTACCATTCCTTCACCCCACATTTACTCCATTCATTCGCGAGGACCCTTCGTCCCTTCTGCCTGTTGCCTTCCTCTTCTTTTCCTTCTCCTTTAAGCACTGCGACCGTCATGCTGACGAGGTCCTGTCATTGTGTTGAGTTAAAGTGTATACGATTTAATGAACCGGAACGTTCTACCTCATTCTTATTTCCTTATTTCATATTCTCATCTATATCACTTACCCGGTTAGGCTTCCAGGACCAACCTGGTTACTGCAAACTGTTTATACTAACATTTGTTGCGCGATAGCTTAAAATCTAGTTATTTGCAGAAATAATTAGCATGAACATGATCATATACCCTAGCAAAAGTTTCGTGGAAATATCTCCTCTGGGAAAATTTGCCATGTCACTGGAAACTAATGAACTTCACCCCTGTCACTAAAATAGGTATCCTCACAGCGATTGTCTGGATGCATTGGCTTATTATCTGGGCTTAGAATACTGTCATCACTACAGGAATTTTACAGCAGCAAAGGAATGTAAATTCCCAGGCGATCACTTAACCATCACAAATAGTAGTGAGCTAATGTTTCAGGACATCATTTTTAAAAAAGCAATTTTTCTACTGTGCTTATTTTAATATTTTGGTCAGCTGCTGGCTCACCGTTGCGTTTCTCCTCGCCATTGATTAATTTGGCCATTTCTGTTCAGTTTGATGAATCTGGCAATTGCACAAAGCCGTTCAAGCAGACCCTTGCCAGCTTCCCCTGTTCTTTTGACATAGCTGTCAACTCTTTCAATATATCTCTCTCATTTTAATACTAAAAAAATTGCAGAATCCACTCCAATCAACTTATTACTAGAAATTTATAATCTGTTTTTTAAATTTTCTTGATAAAAGTCCAACAAATCACCAAGGAACCAATAAAGTAAGTTTTGCGGGGCTGACCTGCAAGCGCCTCATTGGCTCAGGGGCAGAGCGTCTGTCTAGTAAACAGAAGGTCGCTGGTTCGATTCCAGCATGAGGCATGGGCTTTCACTTCGTGAAAGCAGGCCTTTTTTCAGCTTATGGTTGCGGAGAGCCAGGAATTTCCTCCAAATAATACTTCTTTTGGTATTAGTAGGCAGCTCAACGTAAAAGGGTCTGACACGAAGCGACCGGATGCACTGAAGTTTTGAGATGGAAAGTCCTACTGCCTGTTCTAATTCCTTTTTTACCTCGAACAAAGGAAAATCAATAACTGGAATTTAAGAAAGCACATAAATGATGGCAATAAAAATGCAAAAAAACTATATTTTTGAAATACTAATGATAAAAGAAAGAATAAAGAAAATGGATTTCAAGCATTATTTTTTGCGCTTATCACTTATAATTATATATTTTTAAAAACTGAGTATTAAAAATGCATTCTTATTACTAATATTTAAGCATGGAAAAATATGTGTCACAAAATATTAAATATTTTTCAGTGGGCGAAGAGGTTTCCACGTTGTATTTACCCTATCTACCCCTCCGGCGGTAAGAGCAACCGAACCTGTCAGGCCTGATGGATTCTTCACATTGACTATCCGGGCAGTTTTGCTAATTCCACGTTTAGCACTTAATTTTCGGCGCTTACTGCTCAGCTAAAGTGCGTTCTGGCCGCTGGAATTCAGCAAGACGCAGGGGACCGGGTTCCTATTTTGTTAAGACATACCAAGAGTTCCGGACAAATGGTGTGAGGATCCCATGCATTAAGATGTATAAATATTAACAATCGAAAAGTTGCAACTACTTAATTACACCATTTTTTATTTTTATGCGTTTTTGCTGTACAGGGTTACAAAAGATTTCGTACTTCGCCCGTTCATACGTGAAGGGATCCAATGCATTAAAATGTTGAGCCATATAAAACTTAACAATAGAAATGTTTCAACCAATTAATTACACCATTTTTTATGCGTTTTTGCTGTGCAGCGCTATGGTAGATACTGTACTTCGTCCATTTAGCCAGAGTCGCACGGACTACAGCAATGAAGCT